GAAAAGGGACAGTTTTGGGCAGAGGAGAAAGACATCAGCATGGTTGCATTGCTGCCTCAGGGTTTGGTCGCTCATATACCAAGAGCCAACTAGCTAGTGACAATGCCACTCTCTAGAAGAGTGCAGGTATGCCTGCAGTGGAGCACTGCAAGGTCCGATGCATATTCAGAACGGCAGCAATGTGCGGAAGTTCATGTAAAAAGGCGTTTGTGTGCCTGGAACATTTCATTCTGCTGCGTCGTATATTCAGGACCATGACCTGGAGAGTCGCGCTTGCCTTGTTGCTGGAAGGTCAACTCCATTCTGGTAGCGAAAACTGCATTGGTCTGGTGAACGCGCAGAGGGAGCGAACCCCGGTGCGCGCCGGCTGGTATCCGGGACCAGGTTCACTCGTTCATCGAATGATGTCACAATACTAGCGGGGTCCTGGGTCGACCAATCGTTCCCTGTTCGACGTGAACGTCATGGCGTGGATGCGTGGATGGCGGCAGAGCCACCGCCGGTCTCTTCAGGGCTACGCTGGATTCACATGCCCACAAGCACAAGTGGCTGCCCAACCCGGTAGCACATCCCAGCCAAGGTGCATCGGGCGTGGCACAAGGCCATCAAAGAAGTGATGGATACGCTGCCGGTGGATGACTACATTGGGAGTCCAATATCGCCAATGTGGAAGAACTTCCACATTTTGTTACTGAAGGCCCACCAACCATTTCTGAAATAGGGCGCAGACAGCAATGTTTCCCTCAAGAGCATCCACATTGCAATGGGGCAAAGTTGAGGAACATGAGGCGGACAATCGTGAAGACACCAAAGGAGGGCGTGGCTGCTACAAAGGCCAAGGGTGGTAAGGAAGGCCAAGGGGTTGCCAAGGAAGGCACTGGGAGGTGGCAAGGAAGGCGCAGCGGTTGAAAAAGAAGGCACAGAATAGAAGATTTGCTTCTATTTCGTTCTCTGTCATTATTTTGTTGTGGCAACCGGTGTGATTCAGAAAGGTGGAACAACTTTTCACGTTGCGATCATTGTAATATGTTGTCTTTGGATTCTTGTTGCCCATGTCGTGATCCTTGCTGTAACCCTTATAATCCACTGTCCTTAAACTCATGACTCCTATGCTGTGCTTCACGGTTGACACGACCTCAACCAACTTGTGCAACCATGGACAGGTGGTGGCGGACCAGTTCATTGTATTGTGTGGAACTTGCTGTCTTGAAATACCCGTTGCTGCCCCCAGAAGGGTAAGCTTCCCTTGGTCATGATCAATCAAGGCGACCTTGGTTTCAATATCTTGTGTGGCCACAGTGCAGGTGGCAGTATTGTAAAGCATTGTACGCTCTTTGTTTGTGGTGTGTTTCCTTCACCTTGCAGCGCTGGACAGCGATGTTGCAATGCGATGATTCTGCACGCTTCCAATGCTATTCATCTGGCCGTTAGCGAATTGCTGCCGTCCCATTTGTTTTGGCTAAGGAGCTGTGTGGGCACTGCTTGCTGTAATCCAAATGCATTGACTTGGCATCCATCAAGCTACCGCTGATGCTGATCGACATCTGTACGTTGTGCAAGTATTTTCTGTATGAAGTGGACACAAGGGACAGGAGCAACGCAAACCAAGACAAGAACTTTACGGGGAGCTGTACAGGATGGGGGGGGGGGCACAGCTTGTATTTCGTTCTTGTAAACAGTTGATGCCGCTTTCGTGTTGTCTCGGCCCTCTCCATCAATTCTCACATTGCATCGAATTCCATCGATGGCAGTGGGAGTGGCCACGGTGGCATAGCTCGCAGGTGGCGAAATTTCCTCAAAGGCAGATCTGCCAGGAGACAGATCCTTCCCGCGGCACCAAGCCTGGTGCGAAAAATGTTTGGATATATGCAACATGACGACACGACATATTCCCGATGACACAACGCATACCAAACAACACGATTGTAATGCGCAGCACATTGGGAACAACGCAAGCGTAACACAGAGCACAATCCAAACAACAACACGATTGTCACGCACAACAAATTCCGAACAACACGATTGCATCACACAACACATTCCGAACAACGCAATTGTAACACACAACGCATTCCAAACAACACGGTTGCAACGCATGCCACGGCTCGTGTTGCACATTTATCTTTTCGTATGGCACAGCATGCATGTGTTGGAACACGTTCCTCCTGTGCCACACAGCCAAAACACACATCATATAATGCAGTACACGTAGTGCAGTGAACACGAAAGGAACACGCAACTTAACACAAAATCCCAATTCTAAACCCCACGTTTAATGTGTTATTTGGAACACATGAGCACCTGCGCAGCACGTTTAATGAACGTGCAGAACACCAATAGAGCGTGTGGAACACAAATCCAACACAAAACTGTAGACATGGTATACGATTTATAACGTGTAACTAAAAACATAGCAACAGGCTTTGGAACACAAATCTACACATTCTTGGACAACACGTTTCAGCCTCTTGCAACAGAATACATTTCGAACACATTTACCCAAAGATGAACTGCCCAAAAGTTGTCCAAAAGACACACATTTTAATAAATTGATAGCATCAATGTGCTACAGGCTGAGAGCACAAAAATAAAACAAACCCACAACGTTACGCACAGAAATAGCGTGTTCTTACTTCATCAGAATATTTGTGCAAAGTGCATTGCAGCTCCTGAACGTGTTCCCAATAGCGCTTTTGGCAATTTCCAAAATACTCTGAGCAATTTTGGGCACGTTCTGCCCAGTTATAATACATTTGAACACGTGCTATTTGGTCTTTTTGTCCCAGTGATATATACGCGTTCACAAAAAGTGTTGTTTGGTCCTTTTTCGCTAGTGCCGAATGACTTTATTGGCCAAGCAGCTGTTCGACGGCCATCAAAACGCCAATCCAAAGACCGCCATGTAGAGCCACGCGGACAAGCCTGTGGGTCTCGGCGCATGCCACCAACTCACAAGCAGTGAAGCATGAATGCACTAGTTGTCTAAAGTGAGGCGAAAGTGTCAGCGCATAGACCGCCACAGGTCTCTTGCAATTCCATCTTGCTTCCAAGTGTGCCAAGAGCGTTATTTTCCCAGGCAGGTGACCACACCAATAGCGGTGACCCCGGAGCTCGGCAATAGACGAAAATAAAACCTACAGCGCCCTTCCAGGACTTAGGATTTCGGTCCATGTTCTGCAATTTTGTTGTCCCCTATTCATCCAATGGTACCTGCAAACCTGCAACAATCGTTTCATTGTTCCCAAACATTGGGAGGAGCACCTGGGAAAGAATAGCATTTGAGATTCTCTCCCAGAGCATCGCCTGCACGCACGTCCCAATATACAGCCAACAGTACGGCGATCAAGGCCCTCCACAAAGACTGCCGTTGCAATCTTGCTGCAGCGATGCAATTGCCTACACTCGCCAAAGTGCATCGCATGATTGCTGGCTTACAACCAAAAAAACAGCGCCGCCCCTTAAGCCAGTCTTAGGTCGCATTGCCTTGGGCGGTTAGGAGTAGGATGTGGCAATTGCATTCCCCACAGCGGTCGCCACCCCGATGGCTGTTTCTAGGCGCCATCGCGGGCCTCTACAACCGCTGCGCAGCGCAGCCACACGTGGACGGCAGCTTTGTACATCGAATTGCTGATCCACTTGGGCGGAACTTGCATCGTAGCCACGCTGCCAAGGGAACAGTCAAGACCATTAATGAGACAATCAATATTGATTGGACCCAAGAAAAAACACGTGGCGAGGGCAGGCGGGTGCTAGGCGCTGTAGGCATGACGACAGAAGCCGTGGTGCTGGGCCCACGGAGCTCCACAGCCCGGTGAGGGTTGCAATCGCAGCCCCGAGGCTCACACGCACCATCCACTGGCTGGCTGCGCCTTTTGGCAATGCCAACTACTGTACGATTTGACAATAATGGCGCCATCACAGTGATTGGGATGGCGTAGAAATGTCTACGATGGCATCAGTTACCGTCGCGTGGCATCGCAGCCGGCATCGCGAAAATGGTATTTTCCATAGGTGATTGCCAACGCACAATCCACCCCGCGCTGACTTTTGGGACCGCCGCGAAGACGCATTATCACACAGGGAAAGCGCGCCTCGAGCGCAGGCAGGCACGTCGCGCTGTGGCCGTTAGACCGATGGCCGCGCCCCTCCCGTCGGCCGCCCTCAAGCGCACCCGCTGCCCCAGGGTGGGGAAGCGAAACCCAAGACGTCCGAGCCGGGCAACCCTTTTTTTCACGGCACGGTGGCCTCACGCCACGGCGACCGGTTGTTAAGCAACATTCTGACATAGGTATGTCATTTCCGACATAGATTATTAAGCAACATTTCTGCATAAAAGTGCGTTTCCTCCCCAGTTCAGGTTACGAGCAAGTGACATAAGATCCTCTGCACGCCGTCTCACACTGCCACCCTGGGGCTGGCTTTGTCACCCTTCCTTTCCTCCTTTGTCACCTCTGCCACCTCTTTTGGTCTCCTCTTCTTCAAAAGGCGCCGTGCCGCTGGCGCTGGAGAGATGGCGGGTGCAGCCGCCGCTGCGCCGGATCGGAGTTGAACATCGCGCCGAGGGGCAAGAGTCGACCGGGCGAGGGGCAGGTCAGCCGCCCTGGCTTGAACCGACAATAGCCTCCCCGCAGCTTGCCCCGTTGCTTTTGTCACGTCGGCCCACGCCAGGCCAGGCCAGGTTAGGCCGGCCAGCGATCGAGTGGGTGGATCCGATCTGTTGGCCTTGGCGGTTCCAGAGGCCCGCCGCCGTCCAGGTGACGATCTGGGGATCAAACCCAGGTCCGTCCCCGGCGCGGAACTCGTATCTTTTGCTCCGAACGCGGCGATGGTGTGACGCGCTGCGCTACGGGGAAGATCACGGGTCGCGAAGCGCTTCCGCGGCCCTGCAGTGACTTTCTTTGCGTTGTTAGTATTTGTGCCGCTGCCATTGCAGGTGCGGGCCCAGGCGTCGCGGGCCCGGTTCCGGAGGTTGGACATCGGCGCGGGGCGCCGGAGTCGGTATGGAGGGGAGCCAGGCGGAAGCGGTGAGTGGGAAGGGAGACACGCTTGTCGTCGACGATGCCGAACATGCCTTTGCCCTACATTTCATGAGCCAGCGCGAGCTTCTCAGATAATGGAAAGCCTCCAGGCGCCCGCGCATGCTTGTCGCGATTTCCGCCGCCGCGTAGTTGCAGGAGGCCCTGAGTTGCCCGTGAGAGTTTGCCGCGACGGCGGCCTATCGGCTGGCATAGTTAACCGATCCAGACTCTCCGATTGGTGTTCGAGGCCGCCGGGCGACGTCCAAGGGGTGCGACGGAATGTCGCTCGTCCTGTACCGGCGCGTGCTGGGGGTCGCGCTGGCGCAGTTGATAATGTGGACGAGGGTCCCTTGCAGAGTAGTCCGTTTTCTTTAATCGTATGGAGCTCCGACGGAGGGAGGCGAGTAGAGGTTTCAATGCATCATTGACGTTGAGCTGCCTTGAATTATGAGCCCGTCGTACGTCTATGTATTGAGGATGCACCCCAGGTGACTGCTGTCAGTGATGGGCGGTGCCTTACAATCAGGGAAGGTCACCAGGGGGCGGAAGTGCATGGCCGCTTGGAAACTAGCTACCAAGGCCTTGTCAAAGATGAAAGGAGGTACCTTGCCTCTATTCCCAGCTTCCTGTGGCTGCACAAATCGATCATTGCCCAGAATCCTGCCCTGTTACTTATCTTTCTTTTCTGTGTGGTATGTGGTTGGCAGGCAGAGCGCAGGGGCCCACAGTACAATCACAGAATGGTGTGCTTCCTTGCTCTCCAGCTGGACAGGGTAAAAGAGCTGGAAAGACCTCCAAGCGCATCTGCCGAAGAATGGGAAGCCTTTGAACTGTCTGTCCATAAGGGGTGGAGGCTTGTGGCCAAGCATACATCCCCCTTTGACATCAGAACTTTCTACAAAATCGAAGATATGCACAGCACAGTGGAGGAGATCTGTAAATATCTGAAAGCACAGGCACGAGAATGGCGGGTGGACTGTGGTGCGGCCTTGGAAGGCTGTGTGCCCCAAGATTTTGTGCAAGAGGATAGGGAGTATCTGCACAAACTGCTTGCCTACATCCTCAAAGGCGTGGAAAGTGGGATCGATGACAAGCTGCTCATGGAATGGCTCCCCATCAAACGCAGACATGAGGTAGAAATGAGAGAACTGCAAATCATTGGGGAGGATGTGCTGGTGCTGAAGAGACAGATGGGCCAGGGTGGATATGGGTTTGTGTACGAAGCAGAATGGAATCTGGCCACAGTGGCAGTCAAGAGACCACTGAGGGATGGCGACTTGCCCATTGAGGAGTTTGCTAGCCTTGTCAGGGAAGTGATGGTTCAGGGCAGGTTGCGTCATCCCAACATTGCGCTTGTGTATGCTACTACACCATCTGGCTGGCTGGTCATGGAAGCAGCAGACTCAGATTTGGGTACCCTGTGCCATGGCAAGGAGAGGCTCAGCTGGCATGGCACACTGAACATCCTCAGGCAAGCAGCCAAAGGACTGTGCTACCTGCACAACCTTTCCCCTGCAATCGTTCACTCAGATGTGAAGGCTTCCAACTTCCTTGTATTTGGAAAGGAGCCAAGCAGCTGCAGGATTAAAGTTGCAGACTTTGGCCTTGCTTTTGAAGCACTCGAGGGGAGAAGCAAGACTGCAAGGCTGGGAGGAGGAACGCTGGAGTGGATGGCTCCAGAAATATATGAGCAGAAGCCCATCACCATTTCATCAGACATCTTCAGCTTCGGAGTCACCATGTATGAAGTTCTGACAGGGGCATATCCTTATGGATCAGACAAGCTGAATCAGTATGCACAAGCTGCTGTTGTTATGAACAAGAAGCTCTCTGGCAAGGAACCTTGCACTATTGGGCCTGATGACTGTCCCAATGACATGCATGCCCTCATGATGCGGTGCTGCTCTATTGATCCTGAAGATCGACCAACAATGCTGGAAGTCATCAAATGTCTTGAGGAGTTGCCAAATGATTGGAAACCCGCTTCTCAGCTCTCACCCAAGGTGAAGTATTGCTATCTGCTGTGTACTGTTCCTTGGGTGTGATGTATGTGGTTGGTCATGTATCTCCATATTACATGGCTTTTGTTTTAAATGAATCAATCAATTCTTTTGTTGAGTACTATTCAGTCCAAAATTACTTGTTTGACAGCTAACTGTACTGTGCCAATGTGTGTGACTTTGATGCAAAAAGTGTAGTAAGTTCTTCAGGAGTAACATTGCTGATTTTAGCATGGACAGGGTGGGTTGCCTTCAAGCATCTTTGATTGGTTAAAATATGCAGATTTGTCAACCACTGAAGATGGTGTTTTGTTTTTGTTCACATGCTTGGGTAGGCGAGCCAACAACAACCCATATTTGAGGGTAAATTGTCAGCCTTTCATTTGGCTGAGTACCACAAATGACCCAATAGGTCATGGCTAGATGGAGACGTTCTGTTCCCTATTACATTGATCAAATACGGGGAGCCAGCTTTTGGATGGGCAGTTGGGGCAAGTGCACCACTTCTGTGCTACCCCTGCATGACTATCTTCTGCCAGTGTCATTGGCAAGTATGCTTTCTGAATTTTTGTGTCATTTGTATTTTGTAGTAATGCTTTGCACTACTTTTTAAAAGTAGTAGTGGATCCACCACTATTTTGTTACAATATTAAACGTCTTCTTCATCAGTAATTGCAATCTTCAAATAATGTTTAGCATCAGCAAGAGAATAAAAGTTGTGATCTATCTTATGAACACTGGTTCGATTTGAAATGGAGATGGCACCATCATTTGATTTTGGTGGCTCGCATGTAATGACAGAAAATGGGCGACCACAGTGTGCAAGCATCCAAGAATCCAGATTGGCAATGCAGCCACATCCTCGAAGGATACAATGGGATAGTGAGGGCATTGCTTGTAACAAGCAACTGGCTGGTATCAGGATCAGCAGATGGTAAAATTCGTGTGTGGAGATTGGGATGTTGGGAGTCGCCCCAGTCAGTGCTAGAGGGACATGCAAGTGAAGTGACATCATTGGTAGCAGAAGGCGAATTTGTTTTCTCTGGGTCATCAGACAAGACTATAAGGATGTGGAAGCTGGGGACCTGGGAGTGCGTGCATGTTCTAGGAGGGCACGCTCAAAACGTGTGGGCACTGGTAACATCAAAAGACCACTTGTTTTCGGGTTCTTTTGACCAGAGCATCCGCATGTGGAGGGTTGCTGCCTGTAGATGTGAGCATGTGCTTGGAGAGCGCATTGGTCTGGTGTTCTCATTGGCTGTGAATGATCACTTCTTGTTCTCTGGTTCTTTGGATAGAGCCATAAGAGTATGGAGGAAGGAAGATGGGGAGCTCCAGCACGTGGTTCAAGCGCATTCCAGTGGTGTGTGGTCGCTGGTGGTCTATAAGAACTTTTTGATTTCGGGAGCTGCCGAGGGAGACATACGCGTTTGGAGCCTGGGCTCATGGGTTTGTGTCAAAGAGCTGAGAGGGCACACTCATTGTGTGGCATCATTGGCAGTCAGGGGTGACTTGTTATTTTCGGCATCAGCTGATGAGAGTGTTCGTGTGTGGAGGCTTGGCACTTGGGAGTGTATCCGAATCCTGCAAGGGCACACAGGTTTCGTGAATGCAGTGGCAGCCACTGACAAATGGCTTTTTTCAGGGGCCAACGACCAAACAATTCGAGTGTGGAACATTGCTGTTTGAAGACACCGTTTATTGTTTATATTTTGTAAGCTTTAAACCCTTTTGTACATTGCAACGTGTTGATGGAGTGGAAGTGAGAGTGTGAGTTGAAGCCTAAGATACAACGAACTAATGTAGATGTGAGTGTCCACATTGCAGATGTCCCATTTTGTTCGCTGATAACGGAGAGAACGTCATTCCGTTATTATCCCATGACATTATAGAATCTTGTGGCCGCAACTGATGTGGCATCAAGAGCTACCGGGCAACTTTGCGGTGTACCAAAAAAAGCAGTATTGCACGGAATCTACTGGTCAGATCTGACACGTTAGCAGATAGTTACAGTGATCGCATCAATATTAGATGGAAATTGGCATATGAGCAACAGTCACAAATTGATGGGTAAACAAACAATCCTCATCGACCAAGGCGCACTCTGATGACCAGCATGGGCAATCCCGCCCAGGCGACGATTACTTCTTTTCCAAGTCTTGTCATAAGACAGTAAGAGTGTGGAATCCATGGACGTGGTAATGTGTGCAAGTTCTAGAAAGGCACACAGATTGGGCGGGAGCGCTAACAACAGCAAAAGGCCGTCTGTTCTCTGGTTCCGATGGGCCAAGCATTTGCATGTGGAAAATCTGCACATGATCACGCAGGCGCATGCTTCGAAGGCGTACCTGTCGAACGGGATCGTTGGCTGTAGAAGACCGCTTCTTGCTCTCCAGCTCTGCACATAGAACCACCAAGACTGGAGCAAGGGGGACTGGGGGGTACAAACGAGTGCTTGAAGCGCATTCCGACTATGTATGGTGTTTGGAGGTCGGTGGTGAATTTTTAATTTGGGGCTCCAGAGGAATCATTCACGTTTGAAGCCTGGATACGTGAGGTAACATCAAAATGCTGAGGGAGCAAATGGTATGGTGTGGTCATTGGCAGTAAGAGGCGATTTCTTGTTTTCAGGGTTGGACGATAAACCCGTTCGTGTGTGGAGTATAGGTACCTGGGAACGTGGTCGGGACCTCCAACGGGCACACTAGCTGTGTTTGTGCAGTGTACGTCACTGAAGACTGCATTTTTGCTTGGCGCAATGATGAAACTATTCAAGTCTGGAACAAAATAGAGCGAAGGCACCGCAAAAATTTGTTTTTTAATTTGGGGCATCATTTACACAGCTATGTACCAACCGAATATAAACGCGCACCGCGGCTGGCAAAATTGCGTAATTTGCAGTTGTGCATGGATAACGCGTAAATCATTTAAGCAAAGGCACAAGGGTTATCTCACCATCTGAATTTGAGAAAATTAGCAATTCATTTTCTGAAGGAAACAATGCAAAAAATTGTATTGCACGTTGTCCTAATTCATGCCGTGCACTTTTGTCTACTTTGGTCGAATCATTGAGTGTAAAATAAACGACCCATCATCGATATGCGCAGAAATGCATTAACACATTGAAAATTTAGTTCCACTGATTGCACAGCTGATGTTTAGAGAAGTTCGTTCTATTTTGAAAACTCAGGGGGTGGCAGTCTGTCATATATTAATAGTGTTCGAGAGTTGCTAATATTCCAAATTTGACAATGTCACTTAAAGCATAGACAGAATCAGGCAAGACGTGCGCACTGCGCATTGACCCAGTCAATCGACATATGTCATTCATGTGTCAGTCGTTGAGCAAAACGACAATATGACCAATGCAAAATGTTCGGGAAACCACACAATGAGCACCATTTCACTGAGCGGGTCAGTTCCGTGGCTGGTGATTACTTTGCCTTTGGCAGACATGAATCATAGCATGAGATATCCGAAACAAACTGCAACAGATAATGTCAATAATTATTCCTTCATGGAATGATGGAATCGTTTGACCTACTGCAGTTCACAGGATGCTCTTCGGAACGCTATCAAATATGTTTAAGGACAATGCGAACCCCGTGTGAAGGAACACTGTGAAATTCAAAACAACATGTTTTGGTCAGTGTGCGTCGTCCGCAAGGAATTTGTGGCGAAGTTGTGGAGGTCGTGTCACAAAATTTTACAGTGCATGAATCATTTTTATTTCAAATTGTTTCGCAATCATTTCCAATGTTTTAAACACCCATGTGAATGGTGTAAATGGACTGGAATTCAGTGCTCATACAGTGAATTCGAGTTAATAGAGCGTATTTCTCCCTCTATAAAGCGAAGAATACATTTTTCTGGTATATGTACCGTTGACTGGTTTCTTAAGTGAAAGAACGCCAATGGTATGCGTTAACACGGGTGAGCGGTGAATTGAGCTGTGATTGAACTAAATATTCATGGGCTTTGAAATTGACCAGGACAGTAGATTTGCAATAGTAAATAATAGCTGAGTGCCAGGATCGTGGCCTCACCATCGCCAGACCTCTCCGGAGGGCAACAGTGGAAGATCGACTTGAGTTCAGTCGAATGGGGTCGATTCCGAGCGACGAAACGGCCAGGATCGCACAGGCCGGTCGTCACACGCACGTCACATACAGGGCCTGAGTCCCTTCCTTGAAAGGGACGCTCAATTGGCCTCGCAGGTCCTCTCCTAAGCCGGTAAGGAGGCCTCGCTGGCTGTAGCGGCCATAACCAAAACGTGTTACAGACCGAGAGAGGTTTACATTGCCAGCTGGCCGGTATATATACAAGTTCATGTTTGCTTCCTGCAACACGCATCGTGGAATATACCCCAGAATATTCCCTGCTGTCCTTCTTGTAATGCCTCTTGTTACTCGCATCAGAATTTTACAGCACTTAAAGTCCCATCACCGTACTGTCCCTATGGGCCGTTCACATCCAACAAAATCCTCCACCTAATGTCCAGTCGCGCCCCGTACTCCAAGTGTACACACTGGACATCCGAATCTGATTATATTTTTCCATACGAAGTACAGTTGAGCCCCAGCGCTATCGTATTGTCAACGCTGATGAGGAAGGTACCAAATTCGTGCCACTCAAAGCACTACAGCCATGGTAGCACGATCGTCAAAGATCCTGCAGGACAGGGGCAGATTCACGCATATCTCATCATAAGCTAACCTATTTTCAAGACTAGGATTGACAGCAGTTTCCACTATTCCTAAAGTATCTTAACTATTTCTTCTTTCCAACTATACAGGGCCCCTCAACTCAAAATGTCCCAAAACACCATCAGAAACAAAGGTTGTTTCTCAGGGCTCACTTATTTCGTTCTTCTTAGAATCGCAGAATCTTCAAAAACTTATCAAAAAAACACATGCTTAGATCATTCAATTGCAAATTGTGTTTGCGATTGATGTGCATGACAAGATTCCTATGATGACTCCATCTAACCTATAATGAGACCCCTGGCTTGACTGCAGTCAAGCCCCCATGTTCCAGGCCTCGCACAATAGCCTTGCATATAAGACGACATGACAGCGCCCGATCCGTGCCCGATACGCACACGTATTGCCATCCCTCGGGACGCCGCGTTGGGTCGACGCTCAGCGGTACAGGTGCCACCCCCATCCCACTCCCCGCACTCGCACCCCCTTGCAACCCCCTCCGGCCCGCAGTCAGGGTCGGCGCGTTCCCTTGAGGTGGGTTCCGCGAGGAAACCTCCATGGTAGGGTTGCCCCCCCCCCCCCGCCTTGCGCGCGAAGATTTGCCAGCCCACTTTTCTCGGAAAACCCTCCCCGTTCCGGAAATGTGATTGGACCTCCCCGTCCATAGGCCCCGCATCCATCTCCGAGGGTTGCTCTCCTTCAAACACCCCTCCGTAAGTGTGCTACCCAAGCAGATTGGGAACTCTGCCCCTACGTCCTGATCCCCCTGGCCACCTGCGAATAATACGCTTGGGGATTGTCTTCACTACCGTGCGGCTGCGAACCCCTCTGCGGACCCCCACGGCTTGCCATGGGCTGAACTGCCTAATCAATGGGCATTGCCCCGGTTTCTCAACGCAGGGCTCTTCGGCAGGTGCCCCTGGTCCGTTCGAATCAGTCGCTAGACATTCGGGCGGCGTTTCGGCCAGCTAGTGGGCAGGCGGGTGGCTGGCGTCGGGTGCGGGCCTCACGGGCCATGGTGCTTCCTGAGTGCTTCCCGCGCAGTGGGTGAATAGCTGGGCGGAATTACGTGGCAGTTGTCCGCTTGTTGGCGCACATCCGGGCCCTGACGGCCTCTGTGGGTTCTCCGCGGCGTCTCGGCGAGTTGCTTGAGGGGCACACCTCCGTTCTGTTTGCAAACTGTCGACTGAGGCCATGCCGTCCTGGAATCCTGGACTCACGGGCGCACCAGCTCAGTAGTATTCGCGTAATATTTTATGTGGCATAGCAACTACCTATGCATTTAGGTCGACTCATTTATTGGTACCGTGAACATGAGAGAGAAGCAATAAAAGCAATCGCGTTTAGCGGAATTTGAAGTCGCGCCGATACATATGTACGTGCAAGATGTATCTCGGAGCTGCCTTGTGAAGCTGCACGTGAGCATTACTGGACGGCCCATGGATTCGAATCTGCACTTCCTGTGAGCGCTCGGAGGGGGCGTTTTGATTTGCCACTCGCCCGCCATGCCGAAAATGCAACAGAGAATGTGGATCCAGGGGCTCAAAATGGGAGTTCGTTGTTGAGGTGATGTCACCACCGTTGCAGTCCTTGTCCATGGGTGAACGTAGTTTTGACAGGTGGCAAGAATAACCACCCGGAGGCCTGCAGGCCTTCAGACTGAAAGTCGCAAACAGAAAGTTTCAGCTGGACAATTGTGGTGTTTGTGCAGCAGACGCCTGTACCTGGAACACTGATGTCATGGATAGGCATATTTCCAACATTTGCTGTAATTTCGTTGGGTAGAGGGAACACCAAATCTGGACACATAGCAAGCAGCATGTAAAAGACCTGGTGTGTTGGTGGAGCGTGCTTGCGCAGCTCTCATTGCAAATGCCAATTGCATTTTTGCGTTTTGAAGCTCAGTGGGTAAGTCACAATGAAAGGCACATAACGGTAGCCTGATTGTGATGGTATCGATACACAAGAAACTGCGATTAATTGGTT